AAAAAATTAAGAAACCCGTAGATTTGTGATCCTATCCCGCGCGGGATTCGAATCACGCGCGTGATCCGCGCGTGACGCGCGGGATTTTTGAAAAAACTGCGATTTGCCCATCTCTAGGTAGAGTACCTGAACGATACTCCAGTTATCGTATAAGTTAGCCAAGCGAGCGAAGACCGATAGTAAAGTTCAACTAATTCAAAGTATACAGAGAAACTCCGTGACAATGGTAGGGATTGGACCCAGGTAGAAATTGTTTACTCGAAATACATAATAATATACCCGGATAACCTGGTAGTTTAATAAAACCCGGGTAGGGATTTTCTCAATCTCTAGATGGTGATGCAAGGTACTTAGTGCACCAAATTGGTGCATCAGCTGGCACGCCAGCACAGGCATGGTGCAGAGAGGGTGGGCCAATCATATTTACATATGAGCGTGTACGTGTAATATGACATATGCATATGCATTGAAGGATAGGTTAAGTTTTAACTTTATATTAAAGGTAACTATCGCAATAGGTTAGCTGTAAGAAATACAATATTAGTTAATTGAACCCGAAAGTTCCCGATGTAGACAGTGAATAAACACAAAATACGAACTTGGAGTCCAAGCTCGTATTTTGTGTTTATTCACTTCTATATCAGGAACTTTCGGGTTCAATTAAATAATATTGTATTTCTTACAGCTAACCTATTGCGATAGTTACCTTTAATATAAAGTTAAAACTATAGATGCTGATGAAATATGGTGAAATGTGGTGAAATAATTTCATCACTATTGGTGAAATTGGTGAAATTAATTTCACCAACATCTATAGCTTGGACAAGCTAAAAAGTGAATGTCCGAAAATGTCCAAAAATTTAACAAGATGTAGTTGTAATTTTATTATATCTTTGTCAGTGTAAAACAAAAGATAGATATGTATGAAGCTACTAGCACCAGACAATGTGTGTAGTATAATGGTACATCATCAGGTACACCACGCACCACTAGAATTATAACTGCATCACCAATCCTAACTCAAACCACTGTAAAAAAGTAGTTCGAGTTCAGGTTCAATACCAACACTTCCAGGGTGTGATTTGTTCGGGCTTGGAAGTTCACGAACCTGTTCAGGTTTAAGTCCTATAACAGCATTCTTTCAATAGCATTTGAATAAATCATGTTAATTCTAATCATTATTGTAGTTACTAGTATAGCGAGTAAGTTCTGTAACAGAAAATTTTTTAAATAACTAATAGAAATAATGACAATTTTAATGCAAACTAACTACCTTAACCGCTAAAATAGTAAATAACCTCCGTAATACGTGTAGTGGTCGTGATCGGTTCTCCGGTGAAAGTCGTATTCCGAGGTATGTAGTGAGAGGGGTGACGATAGAAAGGGGTTCGAATTAAAAAAACCCCCCCACTTAAGAAAAGTCGATTCCGGTCCAAACTGTTTTCTCGGGATCACGTGTATTAACGATCGGGTCACGGGTAAATGAGAAGCCGGGGTCAAACGGGGTCTTATGCGCTCAATTAAGAATAATTAAGGCGCATAAAATATGTGTAATTAAGATAGGAGTCTAATACTATATGACCGATCTATGATATAATTAAGAATGGAGTCAAATCAATTATGATGTAATTAATTTATGAGTTAAAAATATGTATATAAAGGAGTTAAGATTTTAGTGGAAGGCTTGGTTCTTCTCTTTTTGCTCAAGAAAATAAGGAAAAATAATAATAATAATAAATGTCTACGTACATTCGCTAAAACACAAAAGAGAAAAATAAAAATAAATAAATTTTAGTCGTTCTGCATACAAAAACAAATAAGGGTTCCGAGTAAACAAAATATACTTTCAAGATCAGATAATACCGTCGATTCCGAGAATCCCTCAGACGGGGACCGGGAAGTCCGCGATAATACGTAAAATTATTTACAGTAACTCATCGATGATTCCAATGCAAACTACCACATATTGCAGCCACCGGAATAACGAGTAAGTCCTGTAATAGATTTATTTACAGTAATTCACGATAGGAATTGTAACAATTTAATACAAACTAACACAAACTTAACTGCATATTATGGTCACCAAAATAGTTAATAAGTTCTGTAACAGAATAACTCAATAGAAATAATAACAATTCTAATGCAAATTAACTTACCTTAACCGCTGAAATAATAAATAACCTCTGTAATAAAATTATTTACAGTACTCATGATAGAATTTACGATGATTCCAATACAAACTAAACCGGAATAACGAGTAAGTTCCGTAACAGAATTATTTGCAATATTTTACAATAAAAATTATAGCAATATTATGATCACTGGATTAGCAAATAAATTCTGCAACAGAATATAACTGTACAATAAAGATCATTATAATCCAATATAAACATTTAACCAGAATAGTAAGTTTTGCAACAGATTTTTCAGTAATTCATGAATATATCATGTTAATTTCGATATAAACTAACACATCTAAAACACTTATTGTAGTCACTAGAATAACGAATAAGTTATTACTTATAGTAACTGATAGAAATTATAGCAATCCCAATGTAAGCTTAACCATGGAGTACAGGAATGGTAAATGACCTGAAATGACCTCAAAATGACCGGTCATTGGTCATCTAATTTTCGAGTCATTTAAAAATGACTCGGTCCATGCAGAACTCTAGTTGCTATTACTTCCGACAAGATTGACATTTCAGATTCAACATAGTAAATTTTCGTTCAAATCAAACACAACAATTTATTACGATACAAAAGATATGAATAGTCAGAAATAATTTTAAACTTTATTTTACATATCTGAATAAAGTCAGTCCAGGTCCGGTCTTGGTCCTAAGACCTTTAGGTCCTGTTACAAGGACCCTTGAACTAAGTTCTCACATAATAAGTCCCAGAACCTAGGTTAGTCTGGGTTTAGTCCAAAACTTGGCCCAAAAACAGTCCCAGGACCTAGGTCAGACTAGGTTCGGTTCAGGACTTGGTCCAAGAACCAGTCCCAGAACCTAAGTCAGGTTAGGTTAGGGATGGTAAAGTCCAGTCCTGGTCTCATAACATGTAGGTTTTCTGAATGGACCAAGTCCTTATAAAACCAGTTTTAGGACTTTAGTTAACTTAGGTCCAGTTAGGACTTAGTCCTAGAACCTAAGTCCGCTATAAGTTGTAAAAAAGCAGATTTGGGGTAACTAGTATTTGCATGAAGATTTGGTCTAAGAACCAAGGATCCCACTGCCACTGGAGTTTTTCATTAGATGGTACTTTATTATTATAAATTTAAATGATTATGATCTTAAACTATGCATTTAAAACTTTATTGAAATTATACTGCATATATATTGATTAGGCTGTCCAGAATTATGCAATAGCAGAAATTTGCAGTTGAAATGAATTTATTATTTTTAATAAATTATAATTTATTTTAAACTATTATAAATTTGTATATTAGGACTTTTTAAAGACCTAAGGACCCTAAGTCCTTAAATTTGGACTTGGTCTTTAAAGACCAGGTTTAAAGACCAGGTCCTAAAGTCCCGGATCTAAGGACTTTACCAACCCTAATCCAAACAAATAATTAATCTAAATTCAGAACCTTATTAAGAGCATTTTTATATTCTGTTACATGGCGTTGTAAAGAACGATTAGATGCTATTATAAATATTAATTATGAATGAGTATTAACAATTATTGCTTATAAATGACCCAATTTATTAAAAGGTGTACAACTTACACAATACCGTCAATACTTCTTCAAGTAATTGACGCTTCGACATTCCCTAATAAGTAATTTTGATATTAAGAAATTATAAATATTTAAAGTTAATTCAAATAAAAATCAATATGATACCATTAAAAATGGATCCCAATTTGATTTTGCACGGCCTCCAAAATCGTCTGTGCTATAAAATTTAATATATTTAAAATAAATTAACATAAATTATATAATATATCTTAAGTCAAATTTTATTAAATTGTGTACTTGCTTATTTGTAGGTCCAAGTAGTTGAATACATAGTTCATGTAATCTGTATTCTGCCTCTTCATCAGCTATTTTCTGTGCATATTGGAACAACAATTTTTTATACTCTACAGGAGAATTGACTAATTCAGCGGAAATAAGCTGATTTTCCAAATAGCCAATCATATGATTTGGTTGTTCCGGAGTATCATTTCCACTCAATCGTCTCAAGTGTGACAATGACCCAAGATTTTTTGCGCCTCCTTGCCTTGCATAATTTTCGAGTGTTGCCAATATGCCACCATCATTAACCTCACCAACCTCCGATCCAGTTGAATCTTTTGACGTATATCGTGGATCATACACACGCGTCCAAACGTGCATGTCAAAATGATAACACCATGCATCATTTGTACTAGACCAACAATAATTGACAAATCATAAGAGTGAGACTAATATATTAGGTTAAAAATTAAAATAAAACGAGTTACCTCGTGATTAATAACGGGATCCCATTAGATCTTACATGTGCACTTATTATTGACACAGAGGAAGTAAAATCATCCGAATTTAATGATGCAGAGGAAAGTATTGGCGCAATGGACACGGAATGTACGATCGCTTTAAGGTTTCGTAAATCCCTGTATTGCAATCCATGGCACTACACTTTAGCCTTGAGATATTGTGATGACAGCATAACAAATGATGTAAAAAATAAATATCATTGATCCGAATCATAAGAAAAAAAATCAACTTACCAAATGCCAAGTAACCCTACTTGAGTTAAAACCAATAGATAATCTCGACATATTTCAAGAAACGAAGCGGATGACTCGAGCATTATCACCGGCAGTAACCTGTTAATTGAAAACATAAATAACAATGACAATAATGAATGAAAATAAATTATTACTAACCGTCGACCGGCAGCAGAGTATATATATATACTACCGTCTTCACAAGCAACAGCAGAATATTGAGAATGACCAGTAATAAGTATCACTGCACTCGGAACGTAGTCAAACCATATAGTGGTTCTACCACGAGTACACATTATTTGAGATGGTGCTAAAAGGAAGAAAAAAATAAAATAAAATAAAAAATAATTAATATTAAAGAACTGACACGAAAGATAGACTTATTATGTACAAAACTTCGTACTATTTTCATTAAAATTGTAGCATTCTAATTTTAATGTTGCACCATCGAGGCGATCCTTAGCAAGGTAATTCAAAACCTTATGAGTAGCTAATCTTACTTGTGACATTGCAACGGATGGAGAAACTAGGGATGACCTTAAAACACTTGGCTGTAGGTCAATTTCTGATTGTGACCTGGATATGTTTTGTCGTTTGCTAGATTGAGTAGTTATATCTGATGCCGACGAAGCACTTCGTTTATTCCCAATAACAAGAGTAGAAATTCCGCCAGGTGGCAAGGCGCGAGAAGGGGCATCCATCTCGCTGCTTAATATATCTTCAGATGACGATTTTTGATGATTATTTAAAATTGTGGGAACGCTTGTAGGGCCATTACTTGATGTGGATGATTCCTAGCGGAATAAAAAAATAAATTATAATTTATAAAAAAAGTCTTTGATTAAAAGCAAATGTGTATATAAAGTTACTCACAGCAACAATTTGTTCAGAGGTTGAAGATATGTTCGGTTGTAATTGAGAGGTAGATGAGGTGAGGCTACTAAATGTAGTTGTTTTAATAAGTGCAATTTAAATATAAAGAAACATAAAATTTGCAGATTCTACCTTCTCAAAAATTGAGGTTGAATCCTCCTCTTCCCGTCTTTTGTCACAGTAACAGTTTGCTGGGTTATAGCAGCATTTGTCGTTGTGTTGGATGCTGAAGTTGATACTCCATTAATGTCTTTTGATGCTTCATTATCATTAATTGGTTGCTGCATTTCAACTGATGGTAATGGATGTGGTAGAATAGTTGAAGACCCAAAGTCAGTAGTATTTGAACCAGTAGCTAAATTATTGCTTGTTTCAGAAATGCTAATTTCCATATCAACAGTTGTAGAATCCGTGGGTGCCATCATATTAGCCATATGATCCGATTTCTCTTTACGTTTTGCAATTGCATATTCACTTTCTAAATTAAGTTGAGTGGTACTTTCGAGAATAATCGGTTCCTTTGCCGTGAATCCATACTTTGAAAGAAGCTTTTCCTATATAAATTAAACATAAATTAATTGTAATCAATAAAATTAAAAGCAAATATGAAATTTGATTAAATCACTCACTTGTTCCTCTTCTGACACCCGAGTGCCAAATTCTTTATTAAGGAATTGTAAGACAACCACGGTTCCATCATAAGAACACGCATATAGTTGTGTACCATCAGGTGACCTTTGATTAAATAATAATAATAATAATAATAATAATAATATAATTCGTAGAGGGAATCAAAAGCAGTGTCTTCCGGAATACATATTAAATTTATTAATTTTTATATAGTACCATGCTAAATCCAATACACTATGATCAAAAGGTTTTTGGCAAACAAAGAGTGGACGGGCATTCCTCGTTACCCATACGGAAATACTATGGTCTTGACTTCCCACAGCACATACACTACCCATAGTCTCCGAATTGGGGTCTGCGTCATCACTGTCAGGTATCATAAAAATAACTGGATTAAACGCCTAAGTATAATATTTAACAATTGATGAGTACACATTCCTGTCATTGGTTTATTGCAAAAATAAAGCCAATACTGACCACAACTTCGATCGCAGAATCATGCCCCACTAAAGATATATCAGTACGCCATTCTCCTCGATTAAATATAGCTGCAATGGCTACCGCGCCTTGTGCACCATTTGCTGTTGCAACATGAGAACCATCTGGGGACCAACTTTATATTCTATCAATACTTTGCTAATTCTAACAAGCAGAATCTATTAAACAAAATAATCGAACATACCTAAGACGGCGATAAAAAGTAGTTGTGGGAGAGCTTGCGTAGGGTTCACTAATTTCAGCTTGCACAGTCCAATCAGTGGTTCGCCATATTTTAACCGTTTTATCATCAGACTATAATCCACTCTATTAGTAATTTTCGATATCTATGTTTCAACCACGGCAATCTAATTTAAACAATACCTCTGTAGCAAGATATTCGCCCACAGGATCCCATGTGACACCTTTAACAAATCCATGATGCTGATCTAATTTATGTAATTTTTCTACGCAAATCATAAAGGTAAGTAAATATATATGTATATACATAAAATACATATACATGTCATAGGTTAATTTAATGATTTACCAAACGTTTTACCATCCCATATGAATACCAAGCTGTCTAAGCCGCATGATGCCAAGTAGGTATTATTTCTTGACCAAGCAAGATCAACTACATCTGAAGAATATTAACATATAATAGATAAATTAATTTTAAATCACAAATTATAATAATAAAACATACAACCAAAAATAATAAAAATGAATACCCGATTGATGCCCCGAGAGTCGCTTTACTGGTTTCCAATTCTCAATGTTGTGTTCGCCACTCCCAAACACACTTCCTCCCGACCACCCTTCAGTCGATCTGATTTAATACATCGCATTCGAAGATAAATTTAAATATTCACACGTTCATTAATATATTTATTAATCAATTTGATCAATTTACCTATCCCATTCCCATATCAGAATAAGTTGGTCGTCTGAACCTGAGGCCAAATATTGGCCATCTTTGTTTGACCATCTGACGCAGAGTACTGAACCTAAGAAAACACATATTAAATCAATATGCAATAAATTAAATTTTTATAATCGAAAATAGAACAATGGATTATTTTGATCAATATGAAACTTAACAAACAAATAGAATGCGAACCATTGTGAAGACCTAAAGTACACAGTAAACGCGGTACACTAGAATCGTTTGCTTTATTTACATCTATTATGCTGGCAGTACTCCATAATTTTATTTTATTATCTACATGAGTTGATCAAGACGTTTAGCTTGTGATTTGGTATTAAAAAAAAAAAAAATTAAGCTATAAAGTATTGATCGCGAAACAAATGTTTAATCGATCGGTATCAATATCATAGCTTAGACCAAAACACGCACCGAGACCTCCAGTTGCTAAACGAGATCCGTCAGGGTGAACATGGACCGAAAAGATCGAAGTTCTCAGATTTTTGTCGTCTTAATGAAAGTAGATACGTCAGAATTAATGGTTTAATTATTTAGAAATGTATAGAAATAATGACTCTCACCAAAGTGCCCGAGCCAACTTGGTTTTGCCAGATGCATCCTCTAGTTTTTTTAGAGTAGAGACTTCCAAAAAGATATAAACGCGGTACGAATTTCTTAGTATACAGATACAGATACAAGATTTGACGTGTCACCGATTTTTGATTTTTACTAAAATAACTTTATGCAATTCCAATAATAAAAACCCATATATATTTATAACCTACATACATATATTTTTAACTTATTAATACCCATTCGTACAAAACCAAAAATGACAGTCTTTTGGTTTTTGCACACAAGAAATGCGTATAAAAAAATTCCTATTTAACATATTTAACTCTAGCAAAAATATAATAAAATCGAAAAAATATCACTTTACTCCATCGCTTCTTTAATTTGAGAAGACACTAAATATCTTTATATATAAACTTATATGATAAAAAAATATGTCAGACCATAGAACTCAATCAGTTTTTTCTTATCCTTCACCCGCTACAAATCCACCACCAAAAACAGATATATCTCTACGAGAAATTTTAGATACATATCGTGATAATAATGATTTATTGAAACAAATTCTCGCAGCAAAGGCTGAAGAGGATAAGGTAACGCTATAATTCTATTCGATTTTTGGCAGACCGAACGAACTTGCTATCATTTTCAACGGGATTCTGGTTCTACTATGTCAGATACACCTTGTTCAGTTCTCTCACCGGAACAGACTCGTATCGTATTTGTCATAAGGGACCGGCGATTAAGAACACAGAATAATTCGTAAATGCGCAATAACTAATTCTCAAGGACCTTTATTATCAAACAGAGACGTGCTGAAGAAGAAAAGTATAAAGCTGAAGCTGTACGTTTACAATGTAAACAAGTGGAATTAGAGATGTTAAAAGAGCAAAAGAAACCACCAACAATTATCACAGGAGTACCACGTATGCGGAATTTCTTTTGCTTTTTTATTATAAACTATTGAGAGTCAACTAATGCTCCTATGTGATTATTTACATCAGCGATGAATACATCAAGTAGCTTTAATATGTATGTCGAAATACTTTTGAAAAGTTGTTTGTTTTTTTAATGAATAATGAGTAATAATGTAATTCTTATTTCAATAAACAAATAAAAAGGAAATCACCTTCAGATATCAGTAGCCCGTACCTACCGATACCACCGCCAAATGGTTTGTATAAATTTTCGGAATGAGATTCCTCAATATCATCTTACTCATATATTTCATTCTTTTTAGATACCCATTTTTCTGCCAATGCCACTACACCAACAAGCGCGACACGCTTGTCACCACCATCATCTTCCAATGACAATGTATCTTATAATCACAATGGAATATCTTCCCACAACAATTCCTATAATCCGTTGAGCCAAAGACCCTCACTAACATTATCCATCCCTTCATTTCCAATTATAACGGCATCTCCAACTACGATGCATAATCAGCATCCATTTTCTACTCCTACAAGCAGTGTTCAAGAACATCCTTCTTCTGCATCATCTCAAACAAATCATTATTCTCAAAGTCCTACTACGGGTGGTAAACGTTCCAAACCTTCTTCAGAATCAGAAGTTGACCATGAATACGTTATGGAGGCTCTCAGACAGAAGGTGCAAAGGAACCAGGAAAATCCGGCGAAAAAATATATGACTGTTTTTAAACCTAGAAGCTCTAGTACTCCTGCACCTCCACACAACTCGACAACAAATCATCAGCATCATCATCACTATAATCGTGACCAACAGAAACAACAGCACCAACATCAACGTCATCAATCACAGCAACAAACTTCTCCTGTTGATCCTTCTCCAATGGTTCGATCACCGATTCCTCCTTTACCTCCAATGAATGTACATTCTCCTGGGATGAATCAAGAACAAGTTACTAAAAGTTGAAGATTCACCTCAATTTAAGAGCACGTGATTCGGACCTTCGCCCATTCACATAGCAAAGAAAGTAGTTTTACTATTATTAGTCAGTTTATAGGATTACTTTTCTTGTCTGGAACAAGAATAGTAATTTCTAAGTAGTATATTGTGTAATTTGAAGTTAAAACTTTAAGAATATTATGTATTATATTATTTGTGTAAAATGCTACGGCAACTTATTGCCGTTTTCAAATTATAAACAAATGTTATTTACATCTTTTAACTATTTTTAAACTTAAAATGTTTATTTTCAGTCTTTAGTATACCCATTGTAATCAATATCCTCCGAAATTAATAAATCTACAAGTAGTGTTTTAATTTGAAGCACGTTGATACCACAAACACTTCCGCTACTATGTTGTGTATATATAATTACATATGTATGTATGTGCGTGCGTACGTACGTAACAATACATATTGCGTATGTATGTTCGTACGCACGTACGTACATGTGCGAAGCCTTTATGTAAAAACGTATTGTAAATTCTCTCGATAATTCAGTAATTTTAGATTTACGCTCAAATACACGATCGTACGTACGTACGTGATTAAGTTAATTATACTTTAAATATACTTTATTAATATATATATATGATTTTAAACTTGCAATTAGGTTAATTTTATTCTACTAATAGATATATAATCTTAAAAATAGAAATTCCTTAAAAAGTCTAAAAATATTGATTTTATTATCTCTTGAACTAAAAAAAAAATCTGTATACGTATTCTTTTTGTAAACTTTTTTTTAAGCCGTATTAATGAAATTTTTAATTATATAATACTAATGTTT